GAGATCTATAGCTAAATTCTTATCTTTTTTTATTTTCATTTTTATGTGTAACCATAGTGTATGGAAGAAATTGAAAAGGATATTGCAATAATTATGAGAGAAGTCAAAAGGGATTGTGGGTTGGAAGAAGTCAATAAATGCTGAGGTTGGGTTGGGAGAAGTCAATAAATACTGAGATTTTTTTTTTTAAATCAAAAAATTAGAAAATTAAGATTAGGAGATTAGGATTAGGAGATTGGAGCTCCCACAGGCCTTGGGGTTAAAAACCCCCTTTTACTTAATATATAGTATAGATAAAAGAAATAAATGATTGACAAAATATAAAAAAGTTATTTTGGTAATATAATATAAAATATATTTTTTTTCTTTTCTTTTATGAAATCTAACTAAAAAAAAATTGAGAGAAATCACACTCATTTTATTTTTTATTTTATTTTATAACTTAAGTAATAATTTCTTTTCTTTTTTCTTCTAAATTTCTAAACATAGTGTTAATAAAAATTTTCATAAAATTTTTGAATCTCTATAGAATTCATTCTTGAATTAAAGCTTATCCTGATTCTTGCTAAATACAAAAGTGTTATCGTCATACAAAAATAAAAAAATAATAAATAATAATAAAAAATTGGCTTACCTCCAATCCCGGATGATGATGTTGGATTCATGGGATTCATTATGTATTCTGTTTTAATAATTTAAATCGATTAATATGTAAAGTTTATTGACTATTTTATCTTTATAAAAAATTATATTGATCGGATATTAACAGTTATTTTATCGGATTAAATTTTTGTCAACAATTTATTTTGAAAATTATATTTATCGTTGACAAAAATTTGATATTATCAAATAGTTATCGATATCCGATCAACATGATTTTTTTATAGAGATAAGGGGGTATTTTGGAAAGATGGTTAAAAGCTATCTTCTAACTTTTAACTCATTTTGGGTCACATCATCTCTCAATTTTTTTACACGTTTCTTAAAAAAAAAGTCAAAAAGCCTGTTTTTGACCATCTTTCTAAAATAATCCAAACTATTCGACAAATTTTACACATTGAAAACGGTTCAGATTATCGAAGCATGAGCCATATTATTTTCATATCTTAATTTTTCATTAGCCATTATGCCTTCTAATTTTTGTTTCCAATATCAAATTTCTTCATCAATTAGAAAAATTTGGCCTTTAAATCGATGAATTTTTCCAACACGATAATTTAAACCTCTTTATTTCAAATAATACGGAGATAATGAAATTATTTGAAATCTTTCCCTGTAAAGATAAAGAGAATTAGTTTTTTTTTTTACGGCAAAAATTTAATTCCCGAACTAATAAATTGCATCCTCACGACTTAAGTAATCATTTTATTTCCTTTTTTTTTTTCCTCTTATAACTTAAATAATCATTTCTTTTATTTTCTCTTCTAGGTTTCCAAACATAGTGTTAATAAAAATTTTCATAAAATTTTTGACTCTCTAATTTTACTAAATTTGTTTAATGAAATCTAATCTTATAAAATTCATTCTTGAATAAAACTTATCTTGATTCTTGCTAAATACAAAAGTGTTATCATCATACAAAAATAAAAAAATAATAAATAATAAATAATAAATAAGAATAAAAATAAAAATTGGCTTACCTCTAGTCGAGGACGATGTTGTTGGATTCATGGGATTCATTATGTATTCTGTCTTAATAATTTGAATCGATCAATATGTAAAGTTTATTGACTACTTTGTCTTTGTAAAAAATCATGTTAATCGGATATTGACAGTTACTTGATCGGATTAAATTTTTGTCAACAATTTATTTTGAAAATTATATTTATCGTTGACAAAAATTTAATATGATCAAATAACTATCGATATCCGATTAACGTGATTTTTTTACAGAGATGAAAGGGGTATTTTGGGAAGATGGTTAAAAGCTATCTTTCGGCTTTTAACTCATTTTGGGTCACATCATCTCTCAATTTTTTTACATGTTTTTTTTTTAAATAAAAAAAAGTCAAAAAATCTGTTTTTAACTATCTTCCCAAAATAATCCAAAACTATTCGACAAATTCTACACATTGAAAACGGTTCATATTATCGAAGCATGAGCCACATTATTTTCATATCTTATTTTTTCATAGGCCATTATGTCTTCTAATTTTTGCTTCCAATATCAAATTTCTTCATCAATTAGAAAATTTTGGCCTTTAAGTCGATGAATTTTTCCAACACGATAATTTAAATCTCTTTGCTTCAAATAATACGAAGATGATGAAATTATTTGAAATCTTTGCCTATAAAGAGAATTAATTTTTTCTTTTAGGGCTAAAATTTCACTCCCGAACTAATAAATTTCATCATCACAACGTCAAATCATTCTTTTCATATCATTTGTCATGCTATTATGTTGACAATAAGTGGTAGAACCACCACCGTAACACTAGCAATTTTCAGAAAATGGGGCATTCCACTGATAATCTGTTTTCATGGAAACATTGCCACTCCATTGGCGGTTTCTATCCATGGGTACACAAGATGTAAGCATATCTATTGAAAGCATGATTTCATAAGATTAAGTCTGCTTCTTCATTATCATCACTCCAAGTTAGAATGGTCTCGCTCAGCGTGCCAATTTATGTTGATAAAAATCTAGTTTAAGTCCAATCAACAATGATTTGATCGACAGACTCAAATAAATTTCAAGAAAACACAAATAAAAATCAGGTTTTGTGGTTGAGTTCTTTACTTTAAATAGATTAAGGACTTCCCTAGAAGTAATTAAATGAATAGGAAATGGAACAAAATAGAATATGTATTAATTCAAATAAATTGTCACTTGTCACTAGTTACAAAAACTTAAATAAGAACAAAAAATTGAAGAAATACAACAATCAACAGAAAGAAGAGAAGTAGGGGTTGAAAAAAGCTACGAGTTTAATCTACTCCTAAAATGGCTAATTTAGAACTACTCCTAAATAACTCTACACAAATGTGTTTGATGGTTGATAATGATCGATTGATTCTTCGTTGTATCTCTCTTGGCCTATTTATAGGTTCAGTCACATGAGAGGAAGAGATAACTTAAGTTCACGATTTCCTCAACAAGTCTATGATTTCCTCAACATTATCCATATCTCATGTTTGATAGGAACCATTTTGCAAATTTGATGCTTGATTTGATCTTGACTCATTGATCTCAGCAACTAACTTTCAAATTGCTGCAATTGCTAACTTCCTGGCTCTCCATTTAACATGTCATCATGCTACGTCCTTAGCACATCTGTCATGCAACATTAGCATGTCTATCGACAGAAATAATAACAATGAAGATAAATGTGGTCAAGGTTATTCTTTGAAAATAGTTTATGATTTCAATGACAGATCATAATCAAACTTGGCTATAATTAATATGTTACAATCGACAGAAAAATAAAATGTGGTGCAAACAGAGGCATAACAAAGTTTTGATCATCAGAAGAATTGGCTCTCTTTCGCCAAACCTCATCAATCAAATCTTGCAAACACTCATCTCTCTTCTTCTGCAAATCACCATACTCTTCTTCAACCTCTCCTAATCAATCCATCTCAAAATCAGAACATAATCGCACAAATTTGACGGCGAACGCACAAGAAACTTCTCCATCAATCATTCAACAAATCACTTCCCCAACAAAAATATATAAATTAATATAAAATAAAAAAATAAAAAAGAAGACAATTGCAATAAATAAAATCCATTAACAAATGCCCAATCTCATAATATTATAAAATCTAGGGTAAATTATACAAATAGTCCATGTACTTTACCCGATGTGTCAATTTGGTCCCTGTAGTTTCAATTTGCTTGATTTTGCCCCTTAATTTAGCGGATGATATCATTTTAGTTCAATAAATAACGGTTATTAAATTAATTTAACGGAAGGTAAAAAAATGTGTCAATTTGGTTCCTGTATTTTACACGATATGTCAATTTGGTCCCTGTAGTTTTAATTTTCTCGATTTTGACAGGGACTAAATTGACACATCGTGAAAAATACAGGAACCAAATTGACACATTATTTGACTTTCCGTTAATTTAACTTAACAATCGTTATTAATTGGACTAAAATAACACAATCCGTTAAATTAAGGGATAAAATCGAGCAAATTGAAACTATAGAGACCAAATTGACACATCGTGTAAAGTACATGACTATTTACATAATTTTTCCTAAAATCTACGATTTATCTAATTTGTAATAATATGATCTGATCTGATTTACATACTTTTACTTTAACTTTTACTTGTGTGTGTATATATATATATATATATGGGGGATTGAGAGCTTCTATATTCCATGATTGTAATGGAGGTTCTCTGCGTTAACTTTGTTTGGAAAGTAAGGTTGATTTTTTCATTTTTTTTTTTTTTTTGAGTTTTTTAATTAAGGGCTAAAAACCACTTTTGGATTAGATTTTTTGATTTTTTAAACTTTTGTGATAGAAAAAATAAAATAATTATGATTTAAATAGGACATTTTGTTTTATTAACTTTTTGTCTATTTTGTCTTTTTGTGACTATTTTAACCAAAAAAACCTTTCAACCCAATATGCCAAATGAGGGCTATAACATCTCTGGGTTGTGATATTAATATTTTAAATTTAAAAAGAATCATTACAAACCCTTAAATAATGTAATGGAGATATTCCTTTATAACTTTAGAATGGAAAAAGTCATAATTCACGCAAGGCAACAATATAGACCAAAAAAAAAAAAAAAATTATATTAACTTGGTTTAAACTTCTTGCACTTTAATTTTTATCTTTTAATTTCTCATAAAATAAAATAAGTCTAAAATTTTAAGTATGATGTGTGGCTGTCATTATCTATTATACCTATTTCGTGGGATAAATTCCAAAAACTTTGAAATGTTATTTATAACATTACAATAAAATACAATACGATAATCACATAATGATATATATATATATATATATATATCAAATCCAATAATCCTATAGTAAAATCACATCCAAATCCAATACGATATGTACGTCTGAATTTTTTCGTAGTTTTCTTCCTTGGTGCTTATTGCCTTATTTTCAATTTGTTTGGTGTAAGTTTTGGATTATTTGGACTCTTGTAAGTGCCGATTGGCTTTCTAATGACATATTTCTTCTGATAAAAAAAAAAGAAAAAAGAAAAAAGATGGGATTCGAATTATGGAAAATTTGATTCGTTGACTAGCCTAATCATAACTAGCTAAAAATATAGATCCATTAGCACACTTCAATTTTGAAATTGAGACAGGAGTTCAAGTGCATTTTTTCTTGGAATGCACACAACCTCTAAAGCTCCAGCCTTACGGTTTTGACCACTTGCGTTTTTGGAAAATGATAAAAAAACGTGGCTTTTTATGGCCCTTCCCAAAACAGGACTTGGTTGTCAATCTCTGCTCTGGCCTTCTGGAACGTCGACGGATGATTTAAAAGAAACGACACTGCCCGTTCCATCGTGACTATTGATGTTCCTGTTGCTCCCAAAAACATCACCTAATACACATGTTAAACATGTCTTAACAACATTAAAAATTAAGAAGTCATTCAACTTAAGCCTCTCCCAATCTCATTACCCGAATTAAAAAGAAACATATATAATTATGTGATGTAATAGCCATTTTGTCAAGCCCCATGAAAATGATGGATATGTATTATTAACAGTTTAGTCAATAGAATAGACTTTTTCAATTAGCACAACTTAGAAATTTCATACCTTACAAACAAACCAAAAAAAATAATGTAAAGATAAGAATAAGATATTTTTTTCTCTTAAAAGTAAAAATGTTATTATTTAGTGGTTGTATTTGTGGTGGTGGTGGTGATGATGGCGGTCGCGGGGTATTAGTAATACTATAGTACCAAAAAAACATTTATTTTTAAAAATCATAAATTGATAAAGATCGATCGTAATAGAGAGCATTCATCAGTCATAATTGTATTGAAGATGCATACATTGATGATAAATAATGAAGTAAAACAACTAGGAAAAGGAAAATCATATAACACTTACCAGTATTAAACTCTTGATGAGATCATCTGTATAAAAATCAAGTTCCGATTCTTGGAGGCATAACAGAGTTCCGATCAATGTTTTCTTATCGCCTCCCTTATCGGCTCTCTTTTGCCGAACTTGATCAATCAAACCCTGCAAAAACTCATCTCTCTTCTTTTGCAAAATCACCATACTCTGCTTCACCCCTCCGTAATCAATCCATCTCAACATCGGAACGTAATCGCACAAATTCGACGGCGAACTCCTAAGAAACTTCTCCTTCAATCCTTCAACAAATCGCTTCCCCAATTCCATCCCTGCATCCTCATCCCTCACGCATCGATCACCAGCAACAAGCCTCGTCATCATATTGAATGTCAATAGAGTGAACTAGTACTCCAAATCCACCTCTCAATTCCCAATCTTCATCAAGTGAGAGAGAATGTTACAAATTTCTTGTTCGCGGACGATCGAGGACCTCTGGAGGCTTTTGGAAGAGAAGAGTTCGATGACGGTGCGGCGGCGGAGGCTCCGCCACAGGTCGCCGTACGGAGCCCACACGACGGCGGTGTAATTGTAGGTTAAGTAATTGCCGACGATCGATCGAGGGCGGTTCGCGAATACGACGTCGTTCTTGGTGAAGCATTCTTCGACGGCGGAGAGAGAGGAGACGACGAGGGTAGGCCGAGAGCCGAATCAGTGAAACAAAATAGGGCTGTGCTTGGATGATAAGTGATTTAATGCTTCCTGGGGTGAGTTTTTGATGAGGTGAAGGTGGCTGATTATGGGGAGAGCGAAGGGGCTTGGTGGTAATTTGGAATTGCGATGGAAGAAGTGTTTGAATATGACGAGTGAGAAGAGTAGCAGAGCCAAGTAATAGGGCAAGTTTTCCATGGCATAGGGAAGCAAGTTGAGTGATAAATTTGGAAAGTTTGGTTGTGATCCAGGAATTAATTTGAATGTGAAGTTAGACACGGCATCAAAGACACCCTTATTATAGCTGAGCTTGGATCATCGGCCGCACTTTTCTGCAGCCTTCCTTGCTGCACATCCAAAATGACGTCGTTTTGGTGTTTTTATTTTTTACTTTTCTTCTTCTTCTTACTTTTTCTTTTCAGCCTGTTTGATTGATTGGTTTCTTCAAAATCTTTGGTTCTTAACAAAGAGTGTTTCCACTGAATATATGGATCTTCATATCAAGCTTCAAGCTAGCTTACAACATGCTTCGTCACCCGGATGACACATTTAACTATGATCTAGCACTTAGAAGGAAAAAAGAAGGAAGGAAGAAAATATTTAGAAGGAAAAAATTAGAAGCAGAGGCAAGAGTGTAGAGAGAAGAATGAAGGAAGAGGCATCACTGAAAAATTATTAGAAGGAAAGGTCAACCAAATTAATACCTGTGCAACTCGATCGAACTCATGAACAACTAGATTAGACGGAAAATTATTTCATTTGGTTTGAGATTTTATTAGATATGTGGGTCTTTATGTGATTTGTTGCAGATTTGAGATTGCATCTATATTGAATCTATATTTGAGAAGCTTGTAGGTTTGCAATTTTTCTTTTTGGGTTTGAATCTTGGTTTATTTTCTAGTGGGTGTGATTTGGTAGTTTTTAGAGAGAGAAAAGAGGAAGAAGAAGGAGATGGAGAAGAAGAGGTGGTGGGTTTGGTTTGCAAATTTGAGATTGCATCTATATTGAATCTATATTTGAGAAGCTTGTGGGTTTGCAAATTTTGTTTTTGGGTTTGAATCTGGGTTTATTTTGTAGTGGGTGTGATTTGGTAGTTTTTAGAGAGAGAAGAGAGCAAAAAGAAGGAGATGGAGAACAAGAGATGGTAGGTTTGGTAGTTCTGTAGATAGAAAGGAAGAAGAAGGAGATGGAGAAGAAGAGGTGCGAAAAGGAGCTGAGAAAGAGATGGCTATGAATGAGTTCCGCTTTTTAGATACATTAAGACATAGCAATGGATGGCTATGGAGAAGAAGAGGTGCGAAAAGCGGCTGAGAAGTAAAAATAAAATAAAAAAAAACCAAAAAGACGTCGTTTTGGATGTGCAGCAGGGAAGGCCTCAGGAATGTGCAGTCGACGATCTGAACTCTATTATGGCTTGTCTTGACTTGGATTTTGTCTACCTCTAGCTTTAGGGCATTCTACTTAGAGTTCGTTTGGCATAGAAAAGTCAAAGATTTTTTTGATTAAAATAGTTTCAAAAAGATAAAATAAATTTTTTTAATTCAATAAGACAAAATATCATATTCAACTCATAATTATTTTATTTTTTTCTCACAAAAGTCAAAAAAATCAAAAAGTCTATTCCAAATGAGGCTTTTTAGCCCTACACTCGTTTGAGAATATGCTAATTTAGTAACTTTTTGGCTATTTGGCTAAAATATGAGCTAAAAAAAACTAGTAGTTTGGGATGACTTTGGTTTTTTATGAAAAGATGTGCAAAAAGTAGAGAGAAAAGAGAATCTTTGACTCTTTGATATGGGTTGTTGATTTTTTGATTTTTTTAGTGACTTTTTGGCTAAAAAAATCACTTGCCAAACGAGGCCTAAAATAGTCAAAAAGTCAACCCACATCCTAGACGAATCCATAACTCACTCTCAAATCATACAAAAATTATGATTTTAAGATGTGGGTTAAAATTTAATTTTTAATTTTAAAAAAAATATATGAAAAAAAGATTAAAAAAAATGATATAACTAAAAAAATTAAAATATTAATAAGTTGACCTTTAATATAGCCATCAAACGAGACCTTAAAATTATTAGAAAGATTACAGTCAACACTATTTTCAAACATAATATTGCATGTGATTTAAATGTTATTTTTCATTAATCTTAGTTTATGTTTGTCAAATAAAGAGAATATTGTAATTTGATTTAAAATATAAAATTAATTGCCATAACGAAAAATAAAAAAAGTAAGACAATTTTGATAAAAATATAGAATGACTAATCCACATAAAATCTACATGGCTAGCGTTTACACCTTATAATTAAAGAAGAAAATAATATAATTTCATATTTTTTGAGTCATAATTAAAATAAATAAAAAATCATAGTTAAACAACAAATGAGACATAATAAAAAAAAATTAATGAGTCATAACTAAAGAAAACAATTGATCATAACTATAAAATAAAATAACATAACTTAGAGGTGCATATAATAAGACGTATAAATAGTAGAATTTACCCTTATAATATATATATATATATATATATATATGATTAACTAGGCTAGTAGTGCATTAGTGTACATTAAGATTAATTGTAATAAAATAATATTTTGAAAAGGACAATCGTTGATTTTTAAAATTTCAAGAGACAGTGTAAATGTGTCCTAATTTAAATGAGTTTACACTTCAGTTAAATATTGGAGGGTCTTTGTCGGAGCAAGGATCTTCTAGAGTTTTTTTTTCTTAAAGTTTCTTAGAGTGGTGCATTGTGTGGTTGAGATTTAATGACAAGTCACATCAATTTTTTAACATTAAATCTCAACCACACAATACACTACTTTAAAAAACTTTAGTAAAAAATACTCTAAAGAATTCTTGGTACTTTGTTGGAATCACCTAAATTTACACACTCTCTTGTCACGTCACGAGGTCAACATTGAGCCGAATAGATTTTAAGTTGTCGTTTGTCAATTGATTTTTTTAATTATTTTTTTAGTTTTTAAAATATTTCAGCTTGGGATAAGTTTGTTTAGTTTTTAGGTTTTTTTTTTATTTTTTATTTTTGTAAAAAAAAATAATTATAATTTAAATTCAAAATTTGTTTTATTGACTTATTTAATCTATTTTATCATTTATATTTTTTTAACCAAAAATTCAAGTCAAACGATGCCTAACTTCATCAACATACATTGATCTATTTTGAGAAATGGGTTATAATCCACTTCTCAGACTATAACTCACTTCTTTTCTCACAAAAAATTTGCTTATAAGCTGCTTATAAGCAACTTTTCATCAAAAAACTGATTATAACCATCTTTCTAAAATAAGCTATTGTAAAAGCTGCATCAAGCGAAGAATCTTATGAACATCTGCTTTTAGATCAAATGTTTATTATATATTTTATTACACTTTTTTACACAAAATGTACAATTTTTTTAAAAAATTTCTTTATATACTCTAAGAACACGCATTAAAAAAGAAAGAAAGAAATAAATAAATAAAAAAAACCAAACACAGACAATTTTACATGCAAAAAATTTTAAGGGTAAATTATACTGACATCCCCTGAGGTTTCTATTTTAGATTCCTCCTTTATATTTGAAAAATTATATTTACCTCCTACCAGATCCTTAGTCTTTATACATATAAAATAATAAAATAATACAGATATTTTATTCACGTTATTTTAAGAAAAATAACAATCATCTTCTTTAATTTAGCTCACAAAAAAGTTGAGGTTTTTTTTTTTATTTTTTGTGTTTTTTATTTTTATTGAATTTTTTAATATTTTAAGTAATTTTTTATTTTTTTAAATACTGTCCAAAATCATTTCTGAAAAAAGGCAAACCAAACAAATTTTCGTACTTTTTATCTCAAAAACTACTCTACAAACACAAACCAAACAAGCCCTATATTTACCTCCTACCAGATCCTTAGTCTTTATACATATAAAATAATAAAATAATATAGATATTTTATTCACGTTATTTTAAGAAAAATAACAATCATCTTCTTTAATTTAGCTCACAAAAAAATTGAGGTTTTTTTTTTTATTTTTTGTGTTTTTTATTTTTATTGAATTTTTTAATATTTTAAGTAATTTTTTATTTTTTTAAATACTGTTAATCTAGATATACTTAAGAAATACAATATTTTGTGATTTTTTTTTTAAATTCACCAAATATAAAAAAAATACAAAAATTTAACATATTATCTTATTTTGTTGTTTTCAATGTTTTTTTTTTAAAAAAAATTGTTCTAATTTTATACTTTTTAAATATATCTAAACTATGATCTAATCTAGATATAATGGTAAAAATAAAATAAAAAAATTATATTCATATATAAAAATTTATACAAAAAAATATCATAAAAATATTGTGATAGTGATATTGTTATAAATATAAATCATGTTTATGAGTGTTTTGTTTTAAAGTAAAAGGGCACTATTAAGTTATATCATTATGTTTGAAAATTATAAACAAAATTTATATTTGTATATCATCACTTAATAAGAATATGTTTATGTAGAATTTAATGATGAAAAGTTATAGAATGTAACCATAATAATAGGAAGAAGAAATAATAAGAAAAAGGATTAGATGGTCATTTAGAAAATTTTAAGACATGGTATTAGCAATTCAATCATCGTTTGGGAAGATGGATTGGAGTGGCTTGGGGCTAAAATAGTTACAAAAATATAAAATAAGTTTTTTAAACAGAATTTACTTAAAAAAAAAAAAATCAATGACTTAGAATCATTTTATATGTGAATCTCATATTTCATCAATTTAATTTTCATCACACAAAATTTGAGGTAAATTCTAAATATTCTAAATTCATAAGAATAAATTTCTAACTTTTTCAAAGAAAGAGGGCGATGAACCTTGCTCCTACTAAGGGCTGGTTTGGCTTATCCTAAATAAGTCAAAAAGTTATTCCAAAATTCAAAAAAATATCACTATTCACCAAAAAAAAAATAATTAAAAAATCCATTTTCTTCAAAATCACTATTCACCGAATTGATGTGTGCCGCAGTGCTGTGTGCGGCAGTGGAGGAAAAAGAAATGATTGGGTGTGGTTTTTACACACACCGTTGTTCGTCCTATGGGGGTCATCACGGGTCCCGTTTTGATAATCTGAACCGTTCAATATGTAGAAATCGTCGAGTACTATATGTCTGTAAAAAATCACTTTGATCGGATATCGATAACTATATGATCAAATCAATTATGTACAACAAATGGATGGTGTTATAATTAATGATTGAAAAATAAATAGACCTGATCAGATAGCTATCGATATCCAATTAACGTGATTTTTTATAGGTACATAGTGTTCGACGAGTTACATACATTGAACGGTTTAGATTATTAAAATGGGACCCGTGATGACCCCCACGGGCCAAACAAAACCGTCCAATGCTTTGTACAAAAATTAGCCAATATTTTCCAACTCCAATTGAGTCTGTTGGTTGTACAGTCGGTTGTATGGCTGGGGCCCACTCCTCTCTTATCATCTCTTACACACTTTTTTTATACACATTTTTCTATAAAAAGTCAAAAAGTTAACCCAAACCTCCATATTTTTT